ATTGTTATTCTACCGTGGATTAATAAAAAGTATACACATTCTTTACCAAAGGTTACTCTATAGGTTAGGGAAAGTTTCTTTCCTTCATTAATGGAACCCATTGCAAATAATCTAGATCTTAACCCAAATCATAAACCAGAGAGCTTTAAAGATTAGGAAAGCCATGGAATACATACTGCTAGTAAGATACTCAGTAAATAAACTTTTCTAATTTAGAAATAAAAATTAATTTGAACTGTCTCACTTTCCCAAGGTACCTGTACTTTCAAGATAGGCACTGTGCTTCTCAAAATTTGTGGAACTGTTTTATATGGAAAGCTAACTTTAAGAGAAGTGAAGTCATTTAGGAAACAAAATAAGAATTAAGTTATCATTTATCTTTGCAAACAACTTTTCTAATAAATACAAGTCCACATATGACATACTGGGAGAAGGACCTGTGTAGACTAATTACCTCAGAGGAATGGAGTTTGATCTGCAAAAGAGGACCAGCAACTTAGCACAATAAAATAAAATGTCTTTAAAATGCTATTTCAATAGCACTACATACAAATCAGGTTAAAGAGAGAGAGACTGAATGGGGATAAATATTGCAGAAATTGTGGAAAATGATGCATATTTATGCACTGTAAATGTATGCATATATGGTGAACATGACCAGCCATAGAGAATATTGAGATGCAACAGCAGCGCAAAGTGGCAGGGGGCTCCTGAGGAGTGATGCTGGAGCACACTGGCTGCTGGCCCTGCCCCCAGGGATTATAAAATAGTCGACTAACCGATAATTCTTGAGGTTATTCAACTATTGAATTAGCTGATATTTAACATCCCTGCTGTAAACCAAATATCATAAAACACTGGATATTTCTTACAGAGTGACCTGTTAGTAATACTCCTGGGATTCTCAGTGAAAATAGTCACACAAAAAAGAAATGATGAATTAATTTCTCAGTTACTAGTAGCTGCCAGGATACTGATAGATAGCCTTTCACTGGAAAAAGAAAAATGTTTAATCACAGAGGAATGGTTCAAATTATATATATAGATATATTCTACACACCAATTATATACCAAGCAAAATAGACAGAAGACAGACAGATATATATATTTGGTTTTTTTTATTTAATACATAACCAAAGTACATTTACCTGCAAAAAAGACCAATTTTTTAAAAATACTACCAATTGATAGAAAGGCTTGGTCTATAAATAGGCATAATCAGAGATTTCACTCAGTTTAATAAAAAAGCACTAGAAATGATGTCATAAATGTTGTATTGATGCTTGTTTTGTAATATAGTAACTCACTCTTAAAGAAACCTTATGTCTATATTCCTGTATGTCTCTTTAAACCATTTTTTATATGCAGTCAAGATGCTTTACAAACAAAATAAACAAAAAAGCAAAAAACGGTATGTACACTCCAAATTTGGAAAGGCAATTCATTGATATAATTCTAGATATTTGATAAGTGAGTTTTCCTTTCTTTATCTTCAGTGCACAGATGAGAACACTAAATATATTAATTGATTTTACAGGTGCTGAGCATCATCTCCTGTTGACTTAACTTGAAGTTGTAGGTGCTCAGTACCTCTGAAAAACAGGCCAGGATTTCACAGTATCATAGCAGAAATCATTGTGAAAGCCATAATTAGAACTCAAAATATTCTGAGTTCCATGCTGCAACCGTCCCCACACATCTTATGATAATAGATAGCATACGGGCTAGGGAAGCATGGAGGAAGCTGCACTGAAAACCTGGTTAACATGAAACAAATTCACACCTAATTTGCCTAAATTCACTGACTCTTTTTATACTAGAAACAAGCGTGCCAAACTATATTTGTTTGTACTTTCTTGATAGCTGAACAGAAATTACTTGCTGTTTGAGTTAATCAGCCATAAACCCTTGCAGCTGATCAGCTTTGTCTTCATCCTGATGTTATGGATCAGTTAGGTGTGAGTTTCATTTTGTGATGCTAGGATCTAACATTTAGCTTAGGTTGCACTTTAGGTATCATTGGTTTAATAGGATGCTACAATTTCTCATATTGCTAATTAATGAAAAATAGATCTTACTTTTTTAACATGGAGAATATATCTTAAGGTTGCCTTATTTTACTTTACATAAAATAAATAAAATAAAACTATCTGCTGGATACTAATTTTATAAAGACAAACACAAATATTCAGTGCAAGTGTGAGTGTGGTTGCACAGTTTATAGGGCAGTAGATCAGTTTCATCTCTTGTGTAATAACTTAATCAACTTGACTTTTTGGAGTTACGCCAACAAAGAATTTTGTCAAATAGATTTTTTCCAAGTAAAAATATTCTGTTCAGTTCTGGCCACACCTTGTGGGAAATAAGCATTGAAAGAGAATGTTGATTCCTTTAGCAGGGAGCTAATGATGACAAAGACAGGCACAATCAAGTAACCACAGCTTTATTAAACTTTTAAATTAAACAAAAATATTTTCTGAGTCAGGCAACTCATTGCAGCACTAAAAAGGAGTGGAATTGCAGCAAAATGGAAGGTGGAACAGGAAGATGCCCATTTCCACTCAGCAACATTTCTTATAGGGATCTCCTATCATTCAATCTCATGACTGTAAGCAAGGGTTTGCCCATTGGCAGGCCTCCAAACAAGGTGTGGATGAATAGTTTGTTCTTGGTACAGTGGGAAAAGGGGACTCAATGGAGGAATACAAGGAAGCGAGTAATGTGACCAAAACAATAAGCCAGAAAGATTATATAGCCACTCCCCAACTTACGAACACACCGACTTTACGACCATCTGTACTTACGACCAACCTCCAATTAACTCTATTATAATATTTTCAAGTTGAGAACCATGTATGTCAAGTTTTTCAAACAGTGCGGGCAGTGCATTTAAGGGTATTTCCGACTTACGACCAAATCGGGTTATGACCAGGTGTTCGGAACATAACCCATTTGTAAGTCGGGGAGTACCTTTATTAGCCAAAACGTTTTTAAAAGATTTAATGGGGTGGAGGCAAGATGGGGATTTGTCAAGCCTAGAGAGCAGGTGGCTGTCATAGTTGAGATGTGAGATAATAAAAGTGGGGTTTTTTTAAGCTACTCTTGGCTGCGCTGTTTACAATCAAGTCTTCTGAAATGTTCTACTGTAGAATCAGGCAGCATATCTGATGCATTATATTGTCCTAGGCCCTGTGCCATTATGTAAATGTAACTACTGTGCTGTCATCCTGCATGTGTCATTAATAACACTGTGTCAACATAAGTTTTTTCAACATTCAAAACAGTAACTTCTTAAACCTTAACTACTAATTGAAATAATCTTGCAACTTTAAACAAATATTCATCTCTTCTACACATGGCAAACAATCATACACTTTTGATGGCATATCCTTGATTACGCTAGTAAAAATGAGTCCCAAAAAGAGTGAAGACACTGGAAATTATAAATTGGTGTTAATGCATATTGAAGCGGGGGAGAGGGTGTAGGACAAACACTTGCTGCCATACATAATGCTTGCTAAGATGACTTCAGTGAGACAAGTAAGAAGAAAGCAATACACATGACATAATAGTGTTTGTAAGATCAGGGCCCAGTTTAGTACATATGATCAAGATAATTTCTAGGAGGTCATTTGAGTTGGAATTAGAGAAAAAATCCAGACCAATTATATCTGGAATCAATTAAATAATATGTTTTGTTCAGACAATGCTTGTCTTTCTATTTAATAGAATTAAATTGATCCAAATTACCAGCATAAAACAAAACAATTAGATACTGTGTAATAGAACTGACCCCATCTTTAAACTGGAAAATGTAGAGAGAAAAAGAAGAGAAGTGTTGCTTGCCAGTTTTTTAAAGCCCTTAAAATTACCCATTAAATGACAAATAGCTCAGCATGAGATTAGAGTTTGAGGTTCTACATGACATGTCCATGATGTACTATACCTGCCTGAAAAGAAAATTGAAAGTCAAGAGGTTCTAGCAAAACCAACAGTTTATACTGAGTCAGATACACTGCATCCTAATTTCAACCATCTCCACGAAAGTTTTATTTTAAATACAGGCTTGGAACAAGTTGAGTATAGTATAAAGTAAAATTTTGGTGAGAAAATATCTTTGTGTTAAATAAAATGCTCATGCCTTAAGGTCCAGCGCTAATTTATTTGGATTAATTCTAGAAAAAGGGACGTAGTTAATGAAAAAACTGGTTATGCAGTACTCCTTTATAAATTCCCACTTTTTTATTTTAGTGCTAAATTGCCCTTATGTACAAAATATATCAAGTTAGGCACGAGGCGTTAAACACAAGGACATAATACAGGAAGATTTTGGGCAAGTCCACACGTGAATGAATCAACTGTACTGAAAGTAATCATAGAATCATAGAATAATAGGACTGGAAGGGACCTCGAGAGGTCATCGAGTCCAGCCCCCCGCCCTCAAGGCAGGATCAAGCTCCGTCTACACCATCCCTGACAGATGTCTATCTAACCTGTTCTTAAATATCTCCAGACAGGGAGATTCCACCACCTCCCTTGGCAATTTATTCCAATATTTGACCACCCTGACAGTTAGGAATTTTTTCCTAATGTCCAATCTAAACTTCCCCTGCTGCACTTTAAGCCCATTACTCCTTGTCCTGTCCTCAGAAACCAAGAGGAACAAATTTTCGCCTTCCTCCTTGTGACACCCTTTTAGATATTTGAAAACCGCTATCATGTCCCCCCTTAATCTTCTTTTTTCCAAACTAAACAAGCCCAGTTCATGAAGCCTGGCTTCATAGGTCATGTTCTCTAAACCTTTAATCATTCTTGTCGCTCTTCTCTGTACCCTTTCCAATTTCTCCACATCTTTCTTGAAATGTGGTGCCCAGAACTGGACACAGTTCTCCAGCTGAGGCCTAACTAGTGCAGAATAGAGCGGCAGAATGACTTCACGAGTTTTGCTTACAACACACCTGTTGATACAGAATAATAGAACTGGTCAAAAAATTAAACAAAAATGGGCTTTCAACAAAAAAGAAATTTTTGTATGAAAAATTGTTTTTGTCCTCCCTCTATCATTTTTGACCAAAAAAGATCATCCACATTCTTTATTTCATTTTGATAGGGTAAAAATCCATTCATTCTCTCTTCCATTCCACCTTTACCTGTAAAAGTAAAAAATTCAAAAATTGTTGAAAAAATATTTTTTATTCTTCAAATTTTTATAAAAGGAAAAATAAAAGCTGTTTAATGAAATATTATATTTCCATTTTGTGTGAAGTACCCTCTTTTTGATCAGCACTACCCAAATAGCAATTATTACTTATGAGACCCAGGTCCGGCAATCTTTAGTCAGGGAAAACTCTGACGGGAATTTTGTCTGTTTAAGGATTTTACAAACAGTTCCAAATGCAGTCAGAAATGGAGAACCATTAGCAAAAATAAAACAGCAGATTTAAAAAAAAAAAAAAAAAAAAAAAAAAACCCTGTGATGTGAGTCATAGCCACAAAGGCCCAGATGCTCAAAGATATATAAGAACCTACCTCTCACTGATTGCCTTTGAGGATCTGAATCTAAATCCCTTGTATATATTTTCTCCATTAAAGGTCCAGTGCTGCTCTTACTGAAAACAAGGACAAGCTTGTGTTGATTTTAATGGAAGCAGAACTCAAACCCTAAAAAAACTGAATCATATCATCACTTTCAATGAAATTCTTACACCAGTACCAAGTGCCCTTATAAGACATTCTATGCCACATAAAGTTTGTGGTTGGTTAGCACAGGGAGACCAGGGGATTGTGAAATGGCCCCATACATATAAGGATCTCCATACCACCGTGTTAAAGGTCTCTGTACATTTCAGACAAAGTCTACAGCAAAGGATAATGTGAAATATTGCAAGGGAGGGGACATGTGATGTAGAATCCTACAGCTCTAGTGGTCCCAACCAATACATTGTGCAAATGGTGACAGCGTTTGGTGGCTGCAGTAGGCTGTAGTGGTGGCCACGAGAATCCTGGCCCCAGGTCATAAAGGTGAATTTGGTTCCAAACCAGCCCTTTCCCACCCTCACCTCCTTTGCATATTGACCATGCTCAGGCTAATAAGAAAATGTTCATGGGAAAAGGGGTACCTACAAGAAAGGTTATGAAATAAACTGTAAAAGTACAGATAAGGAAGTCATTAATTTTGAAATGCTCCGTCAGTTTGAAAGAGTACACAAGCTTATTATTGGGTCTACTTCCTGACTCTGTACTTCTGAGTGAGCATGTAAGTGAGAGAATATTGCCATGGTTATTGTAGAGTCAGATCTCATCCACCTGTTACTGTAATTGAGAAGGGACTCACTTTGACCTGACTTTCTGCAGCTGTGTCTACACTACATTTCTTTTTCTGATTGTTTTTTCAGAATAGGCTTTTTTGAAAGTTGGCCCGTCTACACTGGGCAAATTTTGGAAAAACCTCCTCTTTCAGAAGAGCTCTTCTTCCTTGTGAAATGAGGTTTACAGGGCTTCCAAAAAAGCACATCTGCTCTTCTGCAAAAAATGTCAGAAAAGCAAACATGTTCCCTGGATATAGCGGAGTTTTTCCAGGATACCTGAGGTATCCCAGAAAAACTCTGTAGTGTAGACATCGCCTCACTCTCAACTGAATGGCACTCAAGCATATTAACTTTACCTTCTAACAAGGGATCTCGGTTTTGAAAGACACTATATCTTTTAGACAAATTTGGACAGGATAGAAATAAGTTCCCTGACTAGCATTGCTTTAAACTGTTTCAAAGCACATTGCTGAGGAAAACTGTATGAAACATATAACCTGTTAATGAATATGGTTTATAAAGACTTGAAATATAAAACCTACTTCCCTGACCTAGTGTTTCATTTTATTTATAGTACAATAGCTCCCAGAGGGCCCTGATTAGGGTTGAGACCCACTCTTCAGGCCACTGTACAAACATAAAAAAAAAGACAGTTTGACTGGGATTTTCAGAGATGTGTAAGGGAGTTAGGCACCCAACTACCATTGATTTCAATGTAATTTGGGAGGCAACCTCTCAGAATTCTCTAAAACTCTATGCCAGAATGGGATGGAGCTGTCTTTTGATACATTTGTATCATTTCTTTAACAATAAAGACTAATCTGTGAATGCTAATTATTAGTCTCTGTAATATGCTCAGGTAGGCAGTTGTATTATATTCACCCTTGTACTAATTGGGTAGGTACAGTCTGAAAATCTAAATCAGTAATTCAAATAGTAGCTGACAGCTGCTATTTTTATTTTAAAAAAGATTACTTATAATTTTCATCATACTGTCTTGTTTTCCCACTGTTATGCTGAGGAAAAAAGACTGAAAAATACTAGCTATAAGTACATTTGGAGTTTTATTTGTAATGTAACATGCAGCATAAAATGAATATAGGGCATAGTATGATTATGGTACAGTGTGATTAGTATGGAAGCTGTATAAATAACATTAGATATACATCAGCCACTACCAGTTCCCATAACAGAGCATGATGCCACGATACACCCATTTCCACAGACTTCTGGGAACCCGTTCTGTGGCAGTTTCTGTCCCCTCCCCATGGCAACCCACAAGGCTCCCCTCCCCCAACATCACGCAGAGTGCCCTTCAACCCGCACTACACCCAGAGCTGACACCCTCCCCCTATTCCGCTCCACCATGCTCTTACCCTGAAGCTCCCAGTCCTGAGCAATTCCTCGGGGTCCCCCAACCCCTGAGTAGCTCCCGGAATCGCCCCCCAACCTGGGGGGCAGCTCCCCGGGATTGCTCCCCCCACGTCTCCTCGTGGGTAGCTACCGCAAATCTTTCCTTCCACCCCCCTCGAGTGGGCAGGTCCCGGGAACTGGTCCGTCGTAAACACCCCGTGTTCCCCCTCCACGCGTGGGCAGCTCCCCCCTGCTCCACGGAATCTCCTAGCCCCCGCACACCAATGCAAGCGGCCGGGCTCTTTCCCCAAGCACGCTGCGCAGAGGCGGCTGCGCGCTCATCATCGGCTCAGCGCGGCCCCTCTCCGCGGCGGCAGCCGCAAGTCCCGGCCGGCCCCTCTGCCCGGGATTCCATCCCCGCTGAAGGTGCCTCTCGGTCCGTGACGTCACCCTCAGGGCTTTCCTTTCCCTGACGGCACTTTCCCCGTCGCGCTGATTGGCCGGAGTCTCGGGCCAATGGAAACGACGCCCCGCCCCCCCCCCACACACACCATTGCTGGGCTGGCGCGGCGCGGGCAGGTTCCCCGCTCCCCGGGGAGGGGGCATCAGGAGGGAGGCGGGAGGAGCGAGCGAATTCAGGCACCAGGTGGCCCTGGGCTAATCTCGAAAATGCCCGAACAGCTGCCCCGCACCATTTAAAGAGACAGGGCCCACCGCTGCGCGTGAGCAGGGCAGGACCCACCCACCCCCCCCGCCCTCGCCTCGGCCTTTCCCCGCCTCGTCCGGTCTGATTAGACTGAAAGTCCTTCCCTTCCTCCCCTGTGTTTGTGTCCCACCATGCAGGACAGGGCCCTGACCTCAGCGAGGGCCTCCTGCTTTGCCTACGCCAGCTCCGCCCAAAATAAAAGGAGCCTCCCTCGACTTTGCCCGGAGGGAAACTGGCCCTGGTGCAGCTAGAGTCCTTTCCTGTCCTGGTAGGACTCCAGTCCGAGGGGGTGCCCTTTCCTTCCCTTCCTCCCCTGTGTTTGTGTCCCACCATGCAGGACAGGGCCCTGACCTCAGCGAGGGCCTCCTGCTTTGCCTACGCCAGCTCCGCCCAAAATAAAAGGAGCCTCCCTCGACTTTGCCCGGAGGGAAACTGGCCCTGGTGCAGCTAGAGTCCTTTCCTGTCCTGGTAGGACTCCAGTCCGAGGGGGTGCCCTTGAGCTGGCATCTGGGTACTTAAGCATAAAGAACAAACAGGAAAAGACACAGGGATCGGGGCAGGGGAATGTGAGTTCACTTCTAACCTGCAAATCAGGGTGCCACAGAAACAGGGAGGTTACAGATTTCAAAAGCTAAAAACAACACTAGAACAACTTTTGTTAAGAGGCCACTGTTTTAGGGATTCTGGTTTATGGTGGGACACAAAAATTCAGAGAATTACTAGTTTAACTTAAAACAAAACTTTACAAGTGCAGCTTCTGTGTACAGGCAGTCCCCGGGTTACGTACAAGATAGGGACTGTACGTTTGTTCTTAAGTTGAATTTGTATATAAGTCGGAACTGGTGTCCAGATTCAGCCCCCGCTGTTGAAACTGACCAGCGGCTGACTAAGGAAGCCCAAGGCAAAGCTGATCTGCCCCAGGCTTCCTGGAATCAGCCGCTGATCAGTTTCAACAGCGGCTGAATCTGGGTGCCCG